ACCAAAGTCTTGCAGGAACTTAACCTTGTATTTCTTCTAGGACCAATGGTTCAGTATTCACTGATTCAGTGTTTCAGGTGACTTTACAGAACATGACTACTGCAAATAGGGAGAAGTGACTGTACATAGTATATGTTGAATTGAAAAGTCATATAGTAAATGTGCAACACTAAATGTGAGGACTAAGGAGGAGCAAATAATTCTAATGGGTGGGACTTGAAAAGGTATTACTTGGGAGGGGACTTTTTTTTTTTTTTTATTTTTTATTTTTTTTAAACTTTTATTTAATGAATATAAATTTCCAAAGTACAGCTTATGGATTACAATGTCTTGCCCCCCATAACGTCCCTCCCACCCGCAACCCTCCCCTTTCCCACTCCCTTTCCCCTTCCATTCACATCAAGATTCACTTTCGATTCTCTTTATATACAGAAGATCAGTTTAGCATACATTAAGCAAAGATTTCAACAGTTTGCTCCCACACAGAAACATAAAGTGAAAAATACTATTTGAGTACTAGTTATAGCATTAAATCTCAATGTACAGCCCACTAAGGACAAAGATCCTACATGAGGAGTAAGTACACAGTGACTCCTGTTGTTGACTTAACAAATTGACACTCTTGTTTATGGCATCAGTAATCACCCTAGGCTCTTGTCATGAGTTTCCAAGGCTATGGAAGCCCCCTGAGTTCACCGACTCTGATAATATTTAGACAAGGCCATGGTCAAAGTGGAAGTTCTCTCCTCCCTTCAGAGAAAGGTACCTCCTTCTTTGATGACCCGTTCTTTCCACTGGGATCTCACTCGTGGAGATCTTTCATTTTTTTTTTCCCCAGAGTGTCTTGGCTTTCCATGCCTGAAATACTCCCCTGGGCCTTTCAGCTGGATCCGCATGCCTTAAGGGCTGATTCTGAGGCCAGAGTGCTGTTTAGGACATCTGCCATTCTATGGGTCTGCTGTGTATCTCACTTCCCATGTTGGATCATTCTCTCCCTTTTTGATTCTATCAGCTATTATTTGCAGACACTATTCTTGTTTATGTGATCCCTTTGGTTCCTAGTCCTATCATTATGATCAATTGTGCACAGAAATTGATCACTGGGACTAGTGAGATGGCATTGGTACATGCCACCTTGATGGGATTGAATTGGAATCCCCTGGTATGTTTCTAACTCTACCGTTTGAGGTAAGTCAGCTTGAGCATGTCCCGAATTGCACATCTCTTCTAATGAAGAACTGGATTAAGGATTCCTCTGGGTTGCCTTTAGAAATCTCTCTTTTTTTTAAATAATAGGTAAAATCCAACAATTTTATGTAGTACAAGCAAGTGGTATTTATCCCACGTAAGCAAGGCTGTCAGCATTTTAAAAAATCAATAAATTGGACATACTACACAAACTGCAAAAATGTTAAATGGTTACATCAACTTTTGTAAAAGATATTTGGCATAAAAAAACTGAGCAAACAAGAAACAGAAGAGAAATTCCTCATCTAGATAAAGAATATCTACCAAAACCAACTTTAATAGTGAAATTGGACAGTTTTCCCTTAAGTTGGGGAAAGGGGGAAGTGTCTTTTTCTCACCACTACTTTTCAATATTATGGTGGAATTACTAGACAGTGCAGTAACACAAAGAAAGGATACAAAATGCATACATATTGGGAAGGAAGACATAAAACTGCTAGCAAATGTCATTATTGCATGTATAGAAAATTCAAAAGTACATCATAAGTACCCCTGGAACAATGTTAGTGTAGCAAAGTGGCGAATTACATGTACAATTTAATTGTTGTTCCATGTATGGGTAAGAGCTAGGATTTGAAATTTAAAAACAAAATTAAGCATCATTTAAAATTGCATCAGGTTAAAAAGCAAATCCCAATCGGTGTCTTTTAACTGGACAGTTCAGGCCATTAACGTTCAATGTGACTAATGAAAAGTGGTAACTTTGCCCTGCCATTTGCCAAAGATAAGTTCTAATATATGCTTTGAATTCCCTGTGATCTTTTGCTGTGAGGTTTCCTTCCTTTATCTTCTTTCATACTGATGACCGTGTTTCTGTGTTTCTGTGTGTAACACATCTTTAAGCATCTGTTGCAGGGCTGGACGAGTGGCGACAAATTCTTTCAATTTCTGTTTGTTATGAAACGTCTTTATTTCACCTTCATTCACAAATGATAGCTTTGCAGGATATAATATTCTGGGCTGGCAGTTTTTCTCTCTTAGTACCTGGGCTATATCTCGCCATTCCCTTCTAGCTTGTAGAGTTTCTGATGAGAAGTCAGCAGTGAGTCTGATTGGCGATCCTCTGAAAGTAATCTGACGTTTCTCTCTTGCACATTTTAGGATCTTTTCTTTATGTTTCACTGTGGAGAGTTTAATTACAACGTGTCGTGGTGAGGATCTCTTTTGGTCGTGTTTATTAGGGGTTCTGTGAGCTTCCTGTACTAGGATTTCTCTGTCCTTCTCCAAACCTGGGAAATTTTCTGCTAATATCTCACTAAAAAGGCCTTCTAATCCTTTCTCCCTCTCCATGCCTTCAGGAACTCCTAGAACCCGAATGTTGGTTTTTTTAATAGTATCCTGAAGATTCCTGACAATATGTTTTAGATTTCTAATTTCCTCTTCTTTTCTTTGATCTGACTGTATCCTTTCCTGTTCTCTCTCTTCTAAGTCCGATATTCTCTCTTCTGCTTCACCCATTCTGTTTGTAAGGCTCTCTATTGTGTTTTTCATTTGATCTATTGAATTCTTCACTTCAGTCACTATCACAGTTTCCTGTTGTACTAATTGTTTCGTTTCATTTTGATTCCTCCTTAATATTTCATTTTCACGAGAGAGATTTTCTATCTTGTCCATTAAGGCTTTATGTAGTTCAAGAATTTGTTTTTGAGAACTTCTTAATGTTCTTATCAATTTTTCGAGATCTGCTTCTTGCATTTCTTCTATGTCATCATCTTCATAATCTTGAATTGGGGTGTCTTTTTCATTTGAGGGCGTCATGGTGACTTCCTTGTTTTTATTACCTCGGTTTTTGCATTTGTTATTTGGCATATTGGAGATATTTGGTTTCTTCACTGTGGTGCTTTTTCTTGTTATACTATGACTCTAGATTAAGTGGACTATCTGTTTTTGATGGAGCCTTAGGGCTTGAGATGGGTGTGGCCTGAGAGCTCTGTTTGGTGTCCCAAAGGTGACACTCCCAGGTTAGGAGTGGTAAATCTCTCTTTCTCTCTCTTTCTTTTTTTGATTCAAAAGGGAAGTAATTCCGCACAGCTGAACGAAGTTGGAGGTAGTTAGCAGGCAAATGATATACCCACAGGAGCCAGAGATCGGAAGCTCTTTCCCAAGGACCACACAGGGAATCTGTTTGGCCCTCAGAGTGGGTTCAAATTCTCCTTCAGTCTCCCACTGGGTTGCCAAAGTTACGGAATTGTAGCGTCTCTGGAGAGTACTCAGGTGAATTCCGTGAGTTCTCTCCCCCACCGTCTCTTTTTTCACAGTCTCAGTTCAGTAGCACCACAAATTTACTAGGTCCTAATCTCCTGTTAATTCGCCCCGCCCAGAGTCAGGGTTTTCTGCTAGGCTCAGGGCCGGTGCAGACCTGAGGTCGCTCTGCTTATGACGTATGTCCAAGATGGCGCCTGCTCTTTGTCTTGCTCGCCCTTGAGAGGTGAGCAGAGAGAGAGAAACCCGTGTCCGTACCAGTCACCTTTTTTTTTCTCTCTCTCTCTCTCTCTTCCAGTTAGCCTGGTGAACTTTTCCCCCCCGGGGGTCGTTCCCTCTAGTCTCCTCTCTCTGCTTGCCTGCCGGTGTCTCGGGCTATTGAGGTTCGGCTCACCTTGTGTTCCAGCGCTGGTGTGTTGAGTCTGCCGCTGGTGTCCCGAACTGTGGGCTCCCACGCTCTCCACACAGGTCCGCTGTGAATCACGCGTTCTGGAAGAGTTTCTTCTGCTGTTTCCTCGGGAGGGGACTTTTGAACTATGCTGTACAAGGATATGGAACATGGAGTTCAGGGAAGATGGTGGCATGACTAAAAAGTCAAAGGAAAACCAGCTTCCTGTACATGTGCCATATGTGGAAGGAACCTGGAGTAGGTGGCCATGCTAGATGAAATTGGGCCTTGAACAGTGAGAAGCCACAAAAGATAGCAGTGTGACCTTGAGCAAGTTATTCAGAATCTTGTATCTCTGTATCCTTGTCAATCAAATGGAGATAATTATGTTAATTATCACATGACCATTGAGAGGATCCAATGAGTCATTGCATGTAAAACACACACATAAGTTTATGGCATATATTTAGTGTATATATAACTCATTTTTTTTCATTTTGAAATATAGAAAGAAGAAAGACAGAGACAGAAATATAGAGATATTCCATCTGCTGGTTTATACCCCAAAACTTACCAACATTCAGAGCTGGGTCAGACTAAAGTCAAGAGCCAGGAACTCCACCCAGGTCACCCATGTGGGTGGCAGGGACTCAAGTACTTAAGCCGTCACCTGCTCCCTCCTAGAATGTCCATTAACAGGAAGCTGGATGGGAAGCAGAGTTGAGACTCAAATCTAGGCATTCAGATGTAGGGTGTGGGCATCCCAAGTGGCAACTTAAGAGCTATACCAAATGCCTTTCCATGTGTACAATTTCTAAAACTTACTTTGGAGAACTTAAATGTCATCCAGTAAGCAGTGGAAGCTGTTTCTGTGTCTATATCTAAATAGATCAATACAAAACTGAGAATTATAATATCATCAACAAAACGAAATAACGATTTAAAGCAATCTAACTTTAAAATTTCATCTGGGAATTTTGAGAAAGAATCCATGTATGGATGGAAAAGCCAAAACATGGCTATTTTCATTGCCATTGTGTGTGCTATTGATGCTACATTCCGTGGGCCTCTGAGCAGATCATGGACAACTGGGTCAAAAGTAGCTTTGGAGCTAATTATTTGAACTCTCCTTGGTAAGCAAATGCTTTTTTGTTGTCCATAGATCAAAGCTTGTCAGATGGAGAAAGAAAAACTGGAAAAGCAACTAAAACAGGTATGTTGATCCTTACCTGAGCCCTCTTGTAATGGCTCAAATGGCAATTTTAAGTTTCACCCACACATTATTTCCACAAAGAGCATTTCTCATGGTCTGAATTAAAGGCATATTCAAACTCTGCTATGGATGGCCTAAAGCAACTCATGCTTCTCATTATTGACTAAAACATCAATAGATAGATAGTTCTTAGGAACCACTACAGCCTTTCAACCCCCACACTCATGAAAAACACATGCTTCACAGAGCATGTTACCAATAGCTCAAGCCTTAGTGTGAATTCACCCAAAGGAGACTTTTTTCCATAGGCCCACAGATACCTGGGAAATGCATTTCCTTGGTAGTTCTTGCAGTTGTTCACCCAATTCACAGTGGAAAATGAAACCAAAGACATTTTTCTTTTTTCTACAAAACAGAAAATTTTCTTGAGCACTGAAGGATTCCATCCCCATTGGTTCCCTAGTCATCTTAAAGAATAGTTATTATTTCCCTTCATTGCTAATTTCCTCCCTGGACTTTGGTTATGTCTCTGGCTGCAATTTATCAGCATTCTTTTCTATGATTTTCTTTCTGTGTGGATCCTACATGAAGATAACTCAGAAGCAGAAAGCCTTTTATACATACTTTTTAAGTGTTTCTAATTTTTCCAATGGGAGAAATAATTACAGTTCATCTTTTATAAGATTTGGACCATGAGCCTCACCTGTGTCAACCATGAGTCTATATCGATACACTAACTGTTCTGAGTCAGAAATACAACAGAATAGGCTACGCCTCAAGATTTAAAGCAAACCGTGTTGTATAAATTGTCAGTGTGACTCCCCGACTCCACCCACTTTCAGTGAACTGACGGCATTGTTCTCCTCAGATGCATTTCCCTACCTGTAACTGTGGCTTGGTTTTCCACCTGCGGGATCCATGGGTACCAACAGTCCCTGGGGCTGTGCAGGATCAACAGGAGCACCCAGTAAGTAAGAGTTCTCTTTTCAACAAATACGGACTTGGTATTTTTTTGGTAGAAATTATGTGTATTTCTGGGATTTTAGCATATAACGGTTTCTATAGAACAAACCTTTATTTTATCTCAGCTTCCCACTTGCAAAGTTCGGATGATCTATACACACTCTACTTATCTTTAAGACATCTAATCCACAGGGTATATGAACAAATTGACAGAAACTTGTCAAATTGAGCTATGGTTCCTTGAATGAACATATAACATTTTATGTGGGTCATTTACAACTGGTGTATCTGAGTCTACCCAAAGGATGTTTTTACATGCAAAGAAAAGCAAAATGGACATAGGAGAAAGAGAGAGAGAGAGATGTTTTCTTCAGTTGTAAAATTATACTGAACTAGTATGGCTATCACTACATATGTGCAAAATAGTTTTTGACATTTTCCAATTGAAAGGATTTTCTTAAAGAATTCAAGAAAAAGTGACCTACTTAAGTTGTTCTCCACGGCTGTGTCTACCCAGGCAAAATGAAATGAACAGTTGAGCAATTATTTGTGAGTGGAATTGATTTGGACAGTCAACCTAAATAAGCCAGACCCGAAGCAGCCTTCCTTTGCTTCTCCATACCAGTATTCCACCCACCCTTCCCCCATAGATGCTTCTTCCTCTAGTTTGCCCGTGTAGACAGAAATTTTATACAGGGAAAAAATATGCATTTTTCTGCATTTTGTGCTTTTTCAGACCACTCTCTCCATCCATTAGTGTTTCTTTTTAATTAACAGAGTTTCTAATTGTGCCAATATATAAGATTTTTATCAGGATTTTCCTGGCAGAACCCTTACCAAAAGCATTATTCCCTTGGTTGCTTGAAACCTCTCATACTTTTTCATTTGAGTGTGACTCAAAGTCTTCTTCCCAAGGGAGAAGGATGCCAGGATTGAATGAGCACCTCTTATTTGACCCTGATATTACACAGTACCCTGCTGAGCACTTGGTTTTTTCCATGTAACTGCCAGTTGCTCATTCTGTCCTCACTCCATGCCCCATTTCCTTTTTTCTCTACCTGTTTGCTATTTTTCTGTCTGTACCAGAAATGTTTCTCGGTATTGTCAAACACAAGCGATCATCCCCTGAAATTTTTTTTCAAGGATGTCGAAGTAAACTAAGATTGTGAGAAACAAAATATGATAGAAATTTACTTCAGAAAAATATTCTTGGGAAAGGTTAACTATAAAAGCAATAAAACAATCAAGTGGATCTGGGAGCAAAAATGGCTGCATTTATCTATCTTCATGTATGAAAAGAAGAGAGCAATTGAACTTCCATCACTCATCAAACTTTCTGTGTTAATTAGAAGAGGCAACACAGTGCAGATAATATAGAATTATCATCAAGGAAAGAATTCCAAGCCACATTTAATCAGCTACATTTTCAAGTAGCATGCATAACAATAAATTTTTTTTAATTACTAGAGTTAATTTTAAGAGAATATTCTGTATTTCTTTCTTACCTCGAAGCCTAAATTAAATCATGTGCAATAGTGTTGGTAGATATATAATATATTTACCATTTTTTGGCAGCTCTCCTAGAACATAAAACTGAGGGTCACATCACTTATCCTATGTGTGATTTGAGACAACTAAAAATAAACGAGAACATAAAAAACAGAGGTGATCTCATTTCCTCCTCTAGTTTTTTCATGGGCCGAAAGGAGCCAAGAACCTAGATGTCTCATTGGGTTGATGTGGGGTCAGATTTTACTGAATGTGCCACTTCTCAGTGTTTTGTCAGGTAATCGAAGTTGGGGGCCTGCTTTTCATGGCCAACCAGCCTGTGAATACTCCCTCCTGGCTCACTGCTAGAGACATTTTCCTACAGTTATTTTTAGGAAATAATTAGATAATAAAACAAAATGTCTATATCCTCTGTATCTTGTGGGGAAGTCAGAGGCAGAGGAAAGAATTTGGAGCAAGAACGAAGACCTACTCTGTGGGCAGACAAAACTGAGTCTGCTTGGTTCCAAGGGGCTAAGTACAAGGGTGGCAGCCTTGGAGCTACCTTGATCATTTAGGCCTATAGCCTATTATTACTCAATGCAATTTGCTTGAGTGTTCCCTGGCATTCAATATATAGCTGTTCTTAATTAGGTGTAAGCCTAGGAGAAAATCTAAAGAGAAAAATCTGGTCTCTAACTTAGACTTTATCTTTGAGTATCTTAGAAAATAGATTATTCTTGGGAACAGTAGAAAGGGAAAGATTTGCCCTACTTTACCATCCTGACCCTCTACCAGCCATGTCCTCATTTAAGAGCTTACATTTCTTCCTTGAACCACTAGAAAACATCAAATGTGTTTTTCCCACCCTGGCCATCTCAAGGCCTACAGTGTGATGGTTTTAAAAAGAGTATTTATCAGGGCCGACACTGTGGCATAGCCAGTAAAACCACCACCTGCAGCACAGTCTTCCCATTTGAGCACCTGTTTGAGTCCTGGATGCTCTGCTTCCAATCCAGCTCCCTGATAATGCAGCTGGGATGGCAGTGGAAGATGGCCCAAGTGCTTGGGCCCCTTTGCCCACATGGGAGTCCCGTATGATGCTCCTGGGCCTGGCTTTGGCTGCTCCAGGTCTGGCCATTGCATCCATTTAGGGAGTGAACTCGCGGATGGAAAACCTCTCTCTCGCTTTCTCTCTGTCTCTCTCTAAAACCCTGCCTTTCAAATAAATAAAATCTTAAAAAAAAAATACTTACTGATAGTAAGTTGATTTGCTTTATTTATGGACTATAGTGAGTTTTTAAAAAGTGTTTATATTTGGGTACATTCCCAAAGCACATCTGTGAAAGAAAGAAAGAGAGAGAGAGAGAAGGAAGGAGGGAGGAAGGGAAGAAGGAAAGAAGGAAGGAAGGGAGGAAGGGAGGATGGGAGGAAGGGAGGAAGGGAGGATGGAAGAAAGGAGGAGAAAGAAAGAAGAAAACAGCCGTCAACCCTAAAGTAGTAAAAATTTTGACCAAACCCAAATCAAGAATGGTTTTAGGAGCAAGTAGGGAGGGATGGTGGCTGTAGTGATGGAAGAGAGTGGGATGAGTGAGGTTGGCAACAGGATTGAATAGAAAATTACTTTTGTGTTGCCCATTTAATAAAAGCCACATAGTATAATTATATTTTTAATGTCCCACTATGTTTTGTTTGAAGTCCATATTGCTATAATAATGTTTTATTGTTCCACACAGCCAGACTATCAGTGGCATGCTTTTGAGCAGCTTCCGCCAGATGTACAGCACAAGGCAAATGGTAAGACCACAGCCGTATTGAGCATTCTTTCATGTTTACATTTTAATGGGATCTTTTGGGGATGTTTACTCAACATACATTCACTCGTACTGGGAAAGGGCCTTATAAAGTTGTGTTGCATACACAATTCTAATTTAATGCACCTGGGGTTAAATTGAACTCCTTAAGACAAAGAAAACGTTCAGATGCAGAAATGCATGAATCTCAATTCTGGCTTCTGTTCCTATTCCACTCTGAGGGTCAGAATTCCATCTGGGGTTAGAAATAAAAACTTTAAGTAGAGCTGCATTGTAACAATAGCAAACTCTGTGAGTCTACTACAAAGGACAGATGCGCACCCACTATCCCAGGTTGAGTTTGCTAGACAGATGTTTTAAATGTCACTGGCAGACAGAGGAAACCAAAGGCTCAAAACTGTGTTCCCTTATGACTAAATGTCAGACTCCAATGCAATGCTCTCATTTTAGGCTAGGGTTGCCCACAACTCCCACCTCCAAATATGCTGGGAAAAACAATAAGATACCTATAAAGTACTCACTGTTAAGATACTGTTCTAGATTTTTTTTCTTTTCTTCTTCTTTCCAGAATATTCTGTGCTTCTACTGCTTGTTTCTATGATCTCATGAGGCCACCTAGGAGAAGCCCATATAAAATGCGCTATAACTCAGAATCCCACTTCTGTTCTCTTCATGTATAATCAAAATCAGAATTGCCTGCTGCATGTTTAAAGTCTCACATGACACACACCTGTGAACTTAACTTGTTAATTTATATCGATGTGAATCTATCTAGACAAGCTCAAATTTCAGGCTATGCTTGAAACTTGATCTCATTCAGTTCAGGACTACAAACACAGAATTCTGGTTTTTAACACAAGTGGTCCTATGGTGGTATACGAGTAGAGATGCAGGGATATCACATGTAGTTTTGTAGGTTGTGACTTCATAGATCTGAGAGGATCCTCGGGTGAACAGAGTCTCCTGGAGTTGTACAGTACATACCCTGATTAGCTTTCCACATCAGCAAAATCCATAGCTTAGAGTAGCATCATAAAGAAGAAATATAAAAGTGGTATTTCTGTGATAAAATGTCCACGTATTTATCAGAAACCATAGGACTTTTTTTTTCTTTGTTTTAAATATAATCATTGGTTTTAATGAAGTTCTTGGGTTCCAGCTATAATGGAGTTTATTAGAAAGACACACTATTAACCAGAGGGATTGTGGAATAATGTCTGTTTTAGAAATCCATTGCTGTATAATAGCTTAATTGCCACACAATAATTTTCCATTTTATATTGGTCTGGAATCACTACTAAAGATATTTTCTCCTTGAATTTGAGTTTATTTGCTAGAAAATTCAGTTACTCAGTACAAAATTCAGTAACATCATACAGTCATTTATACATCACTATTGGATTTCTCTGGACCAACGTGATAGAAATTAAAAATTATAGAACATATTCCTAGAAAGGAAGTATGATGTCTTTCAGAAACCACATAAAATACACAGAAATAAAGTGTGTAGTCAGTGCATGAGACCTATTCAGTTTTTCTCTTTAGGAAAAATATAATGAGCTTTATAATATATAACCATACTGTGTAATAGAATCAACAGGTATAAAATTACAATGAAAACAAACTTCTATTGTGTACCAATATTTGATAAAAATATTATTTACTTTATTCTCCATAACAATTCTATGGAAGAAATTTTATTATATATAATTTTACACATGAAGAAACTGAGACTTGAAGACTCTAAGTAACATGCATTAATATCATATTAAAATTTAGCACTGCAATGAGTTTCTTTGATGCATGAGAAGACTTCACAAGTTCCATGAAAATGCATATTATGAAGAAATAATGCATGGATTTCAACATTTTTTGCAATAAAATAAACTTATTTTCTAATTCCATTTTTCATGTACTTTCTGAAGTATCTTCCCATAGAATTCTAAAACATGTGCTTTGAATTATGAGAAACCTGAATCGCAACTCTTGTAGGCATCTGAGGAGTGAAGCAGCAGATGAGTGGTCTCTCTTTCTCTCTCTCTCTCTCTTTCTCTCTCTCTCTCGCTCTCTTTTCCCTAACAAATAAGTAAATCAAAATCAAATCAAATAGAGAAAAGATAGGGCAAGCATTTGGCTTATCAGCAAAGATAGTGCTTGGGGTACCTGTTTCCCATATTGCAGTGCCTGGACTCAGGTCTCAGCTCTACTCATTCCGGCTTCCTGCTAATGCATACCCTGGGAGGCAGTAGGTAATGGCTTAGATGTGTCCCTGCCACTCACATAGGAGTTAGGTTCCTGGCTCTTGGCTTCAGTCTGGCCCAGCACTGGCTGTTGTGCACAATTGGGAAGTGAACTAGGGGATCAGTCACTCCCTTTCAAACAAAACAAATAAGTAAATACATTTAAAGATCATTTTAAAAAAATCATTTTCACAGGGGATTTTAGGGTCTGCATGTGGGTGCCAGGAGCTCATTTTGGATGAAAGGATGCTCAAACTGTGAGGAGGACTATGGCTGAAGGGGACCAGGGCAGAGCCCTCTAAAGAATAGAGACTCATTGAAGGGGCCCTGGCCAACGAACAAGGGTGGTAGGTACTGAGTACCATGTCAAACATCTTATGCCAAATAATTTCCAGCTTTGCCTATGGTTCCTTTAAGGGGGTTTTGGAGACACATGGAAAGTCAACTCTCTTTTCAAAAACTAAAGATTTTAAATGAAGATTTTTAAGGAATTTGTGACTTGGCTTTCTGTCCATATAACATTAAATAATGGTGTTTTGAATCCACTGAAGTTTGCAAATGTTAATGAGTTTCAGTGTCTGTTTAGAGACATGGTTTTACAAAGCGCATTTCATCTTCTTTCATATGTTATCAGAAAGGCATGCAAAATGACCTCGATGTCACTGGAAAAAATATGGCATAATAGAGTTAGCAAATATGTTGTTTGTGTCTTCCTTTCTGAAATGTCCAAAAAGGTAGTTTTCTGACTACATTGCATGCCAGTCATTTCTGTGCATTCCAAATGTTTCATATGGTGCAGAGTTGAACTTGTCTAATGAGCATGAGCTCAATTTTTGCATATTTGGATTGATGTGCAAGACTGTGTTCGGAGCAAATATCATTTTTTCTCTAAAATATAAAAGATCAAAACCTCACTATTATAATTGACCTTTACTAATGTTTAATAACAATTAATTAACTGAGAATTGTTTGAATTAATTTTCTGGAACTGCCGTGACAAAGGGCCACACACTGGGTAGCTTAAAAGAGCACAAACTTATTCTTCCCAGCTCTGGAATTCTGCAAGTCCAAAATCAAGGTGTTGGCAGGGTCATGCTTCATCTAGATCTCTTGGGAAGGCCCTTCGTCTGCCTCACTCAGCTTTGGTAGCTCTTGGTATTCCTCAAGTTATGGCAGTGTAGCTCCAATCTCTGCCTCTGTCTTCACTGGGCTATCTTGTCTCTGTGTTTATGTTGGTGCCAAGCTTTTCCTCTTTTCATAAGCATACCAGTCATAGTGGATTAGGTTCCACCCAACACAATTATGACCTTGTCATAGCTTGATGACCTCTGAAAAGGCCCTATAGTATGTCCAATAAAAGGCCAATATTCATAGGTTCGCGTTTAAGAGTTAAACATCTTTTGGGGGGCACAATTCAATACATAACACTAACTACATGCCAGAAACAATTGTAGGTGTTTTATATATATTTATATACATATCATTAATATTTATAGCAGTCCTAAAATATGAATACTGCTGTGGTCCCTGCTTTACAAATATGGAAACTGAGTTACAGAGAGATAATTTATCCTGTCCAGCACATAGACAAGCCCAGGCAAGTCTGATTCCAGAACCTACATTGCAACCACTAAGCAATAGGGATTATGCTATGCTATACAGTATGGAAAATATAACAATATGTTGGTTTTACATGCATTTGATTCAAATAAATTGTGATGGCCCTGTTCTGAAAGCCATTATCTGTTTCAGTGTGTGTCTCTTTATAACTGCCTTTATATCTCAGCATTACATTTTATTTGCATGTAATAAAAATGACTGATTAGTTGGAGTATTTTTTAAGTTCCTGTACAGGGATCATTGTAAATAGTAAAACCTGATTAATAGATGTAAAAAATAAAAGAAATTGAGAGACTGCATTAGCATACCTTTTAATACAGATAGAGTATTAAAAATATTTGGGGGGGGGGTGTATGTTTGGCCTAGCAATTAAGATACTCACATCCTACATCAGAGTACCTAGATTCAAGTTTTGGCTCTATTCCCAATTCCTGCTTGCTGCTAATGCATACCCTGCAAGACTCAAGTAGTTGGGTCCCTGCCACCCACGTGGGAGTTTGAGATTTAGTTCCCATCTTCTAGCTTTAGCTTGGCACAGCTCCTGCTGTTGCAGGCATTTGAGGAGTGAAGTAAAAGATTAACAATTTTTTAACAAATTAAAGTTTTAAAAATGTTTTTGATAAAATAAACTTTTTTTAAAGATTTATTTTTATATTTGAAAGACAGAGTTAAGTAGAGACAGAGAGAGAGGTCTTCCATCCACTGGTTCACTCCCCAGATGGCTGCAACAGCTGGAGCTGTGCCGATCCAAAGCCAGGAGCCAGGAGCATCTTCCTGGTTTCCCATGTGGGTGGAGGGGCCTAAGGACTTGGGCCATGTTCCACTGCTATCCCAGGCCATAGCAGAGAACTGGATCAGAAGAGGATCAGAAGAGGAGCAGCCGGGACAAGAACCGGCACCCAGATGAGATGACAGCACTTCAGGCCAGAGCTTTAACCTGCTGTGCCAGTGCCAGCCCCATTAAAATAAACTTTTTAAAAAAATTTTTTTACCAGTGGCTAACATAGAAGATTACTCAGAATTTAAAGATGATAGTTTTATGCCTTTAAATATAGAATTATAGGAGAAATGCCTCCTCACTCATATTATAATGCTATAAAAGTCAGTTTTATCAGTAAAGTTAATGATTTCACTAAGGGAATATTAGATAAGCTATAGAACTATATTTTAATATACATTAACCCATAAGTTATAAATATTTTTAACCATGGTCTTCTAAGTACTAAATATTGTAGTATACATAATATAATATATCATATGTAATATAATGCAATATAATATATATGTATACAGAAAGAGAGAGAGAGATCAGCTAGATAGATCTTAGCTGGGAACACTGCATATAAGTCTGCAATAGTTACAGTTCCACCAGCTAAGTAAAATTATAGTAATTCTTTTAAACAGAAGATAAAAACCCACAGGAATGAAAGTGATGCATATGTGATATATTGCATCCCACCTGGTGAGGATGCTTGCTGGGTGTCCTTACTGTTGGTGCGTAAGGGTCCACATTCTGGGTGGTTAGTGAGTGCATGGACACCGGTCATCTCAGTCCTGTTCATGGCTCTGTTGCATCCGCCCCTTCCCCTCCTACTATTCACAGAGCTTCCAATTCAGCAAATCTCAATGTGGAGTCAAGACAGGACCCTGGCCACCTCATCCCTGGTTCATATCTAAGTTCACTTCTGCATCAGGGTGTTTAGCCTGCGCTCTTGTGAGCATAACAGCTCAGACTGTAACATTACAGTCAATCATCAGGTGCTCAGTTACTGAGTGGAGTTCCTCACCAGTCAGTGAGGCAAAACCACCTCTTTGCAGCACTGTAAGGACCTGGGCCTCCCTTGGGGAATTTGACTTTCCTTCCATTATGACTACAGAGCCACGTCTCAGGGCAGAAGTCTCTTCCTACCTTCGCTCTGCAGGGAACTGCTGTCTCCCTTCCAGAAACAAAAGACCTGCCTTTGGTTTTATTCAGATTTCCATTCTACCATAGATTACCTGACAGGCTACAGCCTATCTCATTGGGAATAATGATTCTTGGTGCCATACCTATTTCATAAAGCACTTCACAGATCACAAAGAAGTTCATTTTTCCGTATTTTAAGATACCTAGGGGGGCCAGTATTGTGGAGTAGAGGGAAAATCCTCCACCTACAGCACCAGCATCTCATATAGGCACCTGTTCAGGTCTCCATTGCTTCACTTCCGATCGGACTTCCTACTAATGGCCTGTGAAATCAAGGAATATGCCCAAGTGTGTGGGCTCCTGCCACCCACAAGGAAGACCCTGAAGAAGTTCCCAGCTCTAGGCTTCAGCCTGGCTCAGCCTTGGCCATTGTGATCATCTGGGAAGTGAACCAGTGGATGGAAGATCTCTCTGTCTGTCTCTGTAACACTGTTCTCCCCCCACCCCTGTAACACTGACTTTCAAATAAATAAATAAATGTTTTTAAGAAGATACTTAGCGATAGGTAGTATTAGCAGGTAATCTCTTCACTTCAGATTGGTTAGATCAGTGAATTATATTTCTGGGTTCAAACTTTTGTTCTCAGCGTTTTAAGATACCTTTTCATCAACAGCCCCAGATCACAGCAGTGTGTTTTCTTATGCATAGGAAAATAACTCACGGTCTTCCTGCCTGCTTATGTTACCAAAATGCTAGTTCAACATGTATTTGGTATACCAAATGTACAACATAAGTATAAAATAAACATTTAAAAAAATTATCATTAATGAGGTAAATAACTTCTTTCTTCGCATTTTTATGACTATTTTCCTGTGACCAAGAATAAACCTCTTGAAATTGTCTCCATAGTGATGCTCATTTGTGACATCCTATTTTCGTCCTAGTAAAATATACCACCATTTTCATACCACTCTTTAAGATACATTATGATCTTTTCTTTGGCTTGGACAGTCATGTATCCAGTACTATGTTTTTTAGAGATAGCTCATTTTGCAAGTAATCTTTCTCTGTGGAGTATATATTGAACCTAAGAGCAATATCTATGGCTTACTTTCACAAGAAAATGCTCACGCCACTGAAACGCCAGCATAAATGAGAATTAGTATAGAACTCTCCTCTCCAGGCATGATTAGAACTGTGTCACAACTGATTTCACAAAATAATAGCGCATATCAATGCTTAAAACAATAACCCTCCAATTCCCACCTCTCAGTATCTCAGTGTAAACTTGTGGGGAGCTCATAAATAAAATGTCTTTTTTTTTTTTTTTTTTGCAAGTCTAGAAGTTTATGTTAGCTCTAAACCGGAAGAAGAGGTGTGAATTTTTAATTTTTTAATCTGAAATATTTTGCTGCTCTTTTTCATAGGTTCCTCGTCAGAAAAGAGAGTCAATCAGTAGACGCACAGAGCCGTGGAGGACGACAGCGGCAGAGACGGAGTTTGACTGAGAGTGCTTTGTTTCCGTGTTCACTGAGGCTTGTTTCTGCACAGCTGCATGTTGTCTCCTCCGTGACTTGTGCCTGGTCATGTTTCCTTTTCTGTGAAGAGAGGAAAAGGCTTCTGACAGCTGAGATCCTGATCATGTCTGAGGAGCCAGTTTTAACCAGGAATGTCCCTGAAATGAGATTGGGCCTATGGATTATGCGCCACTCCTTGAAACTCTCTTCAGCATATTGCTATTGGACTTACAAAGAAGATTTTATGATTTAAACAAATCCACTGTTGGTGCAGTGATACTATATGCTGACTTAAATATATATGTGTGTGTGTGTATATGGTCAGGTGAGTGGTGCAGTGGTTAAGTCACTGCCTGGGGACAACTGCATCCTATATTTCAAGTCCTGGCTACACCATTTCATTCTTGCTATTGCACACCCTGGGAGAAAGTAGGTCTGGGTTCAAGTACTTGGGTCCTTGCCACCCATGTAAGAAACCTAGACTAAGTTCAGGACTCCTGGCTTCAGCCCAGCCTAGTCCCAGATGTTGTGGGCATTTAGGGCATGTGCTACTGAATGGAAGATCTTCTTTGCCTGTCTTTATTTCTCTGTCTTTCAAATAAAGTGAAAATAATTTTTAAAGTAAAATTTTAAAATGTGAATTCACTGGGGGCAAAAAGCTTCTGCAGTTGTAGTTTTTTAACGTTGCTTCTATTTTCTTCATAGGGGCTGAGTTCTTTAGCTAATTTGACTTGATCCATGTTCTTCATTGTTGGCCTCCATAAACCTAAAAGTAGTATGGAAAAGGTTTATACACTTACCTAAATTAAAGGAGGGTTTCACTCCAAATAAAACGGTAAACTTGCAATGACTCTGCAGACACACTGTTTCCTTAAGATGATAAGAAACTACCAGCCTGCTTCAATTTTAGGTGACCTAGAATCTGAACGATAAAGTTCTAATGGGATGGTGATGGATTTGACTGTGTTCCATGTACACATACAGAAGTAATCCAGGCATATATGAATTTATGATAAAAATCTGTGCTTTTCTTTCTCATGGATTTGAGTATTTTTTGGTGAGAAAAATAATTCTGACTTCTCAATTAAAATGGAAATTTAATATATCTAAAATGTCATTGCAATTAAATTATAATGACAGATGTCTAAAAGTTGAGCAGATTTAGAGGTATCAAGGTCATCCAATTAATCAGTATCTGTTTGTATTCAACTTGTGATCTTCTCTGCGAGGATATATTTAACAGGGTCATGAGACCCACAAACACCTGTGTTTCTAGAAGTACCTAAATAAAACCAGGAGCATCGCTGAATATGCAGTCAAATAAAGCAATGCAGACATGCTGCTGAAACTAGCTTCAGCTTGGGAAAGTTATGCTGTTTAATTCCAGCTCAAACTATTTTTGTTTCAGTGTCTGGATATACATGGGAAGGTGAAAGAACCTTAGAAAATTAAACAGTGTCAGCTTAAGTCCTTAATTCCTCTGAACCATAGGTCTTGAGAAAGAATTATCCTTCTATTACATTAATTTTCAGAAACTTTTTACTACTATTTATCAAAGAGACAAATCATTCTCAGGTGTTACTTGAATAAAAGTGAGTAATAAAAAACAGAAGTAACAAGTCAACTACCTGAAGATACCATGGCATATTTTTAAATGTCTATGTCCTTAGATTAGTGAAGTGAACTGTAATATTCATTTCTAAAGGTATATTAAGTTTGCCAACTGAAGTGTGCCCTCCAGAATAAAAACTGAACAGATAGGGGCCAGTGCTGTGGCGTAGCAGGTAAAGCCGCTACCTGCAGCGCCAGCATCCCATGTGGGCGCCAGTTTGAGTCCTGGCCGCACCACTTCTGAGCCAGCTCTCTGCTACAGCTTGGGAAAGCAGTGGAAGATGACCCCTCCACCAATGTGAGAGACCAGGAAGAAGCTCCTGGCTCCTGGCTTCAGATCAGCGCAGCTCTAGCCGTTGAGGCCCTCTGGGGAGTGAACCAGCAGATGGAAGACCTCTCTCTCTCTGTATCTGCCTCTCTGTAACTCTGCCTTCAAATAAATAATAAATATTTTAAAAAAACTGAACAGATAAGAAAACATTCTTGATAGGCTACTTACACGTCTATCCAGCAGCAGTGAAACACGATTTAACTATCCAGTTTGAAATCATCGTATTACCAATTAGTGAGTTACCAAACATTGGCAAGATTTTGTAAATGCTAACATAATGGGAGAAAATCCAATTTAAATGAGACCTAATTTCATTTGAATTCCCGATGGTGGACTACAAATGTGGGAAGAGGATCCCATGCTCAGAGTGCGAAGTCCATTCCCACAAGGCAGATTTCCACAAGCATGGGTCAGCCAGTCTGTCTTGGGTCCCCATCCTGGGATCATTTGTCTGGAGACTTCTCTGCTGCAACTCATTGTAAGGGTTGCACCCTTTGCTGTGGCTCTTATTTCATTATTACATATGGAGTTTGTGGAAATTGTGGAGGAATCGCTGTGTCCCTTTGCAAAAACAGGAAGTCATATGACCTGTCTTTCTTGGGAAATGCGAAACCAGGCATATTTTAGGTTTTCAGTGATCACAGGGAACGTGCTCTCTGACTTGAAGCATCACCTAAAGAGAAGAATGCAGTCACTTTGTTTTTTTTTTGGGGGGGGGTGGGGGGTGGAAGAAAATCTTTCAGGGTTTGGGCATGGGGTGGTTTCTCTTAAGCTTGCTTTTGTTTTGTTTTCAACACTATTTTCCTTGTCAACCAAAAGAACATTTTGGACTAAATTGCTAGTGTTAATTAGTGTAGAATAACTACTGGATGATTCACCTTAGCTTATTCTCTGTGCTCTTTCACCCTACAAGTGACGCAGAACTATCCCTTATTATGGATTATTATTCCAGGCCAGAGAGATGTTTAGTAATTGTCCCGGGATCTCACAGCAAGTAAAACAGAGAGGCAAGATTCAAAGGAGAGCCACCTGAGTTTCAGGGTGCTTTCTAGCTTACCATAGCACTTCCCTCTTTATAGTTTGTACAGGTTTTCACCAAGTTGTATTACAAGAACATGTTTCTTAGGAGAAAATATTTTAATAAGAGAAAACACTTCATATTGTATGAAATTTGAAAGAGAGTGGGTTCTGGCACAGCAAGTTAAGCTGTTGTCTGCAATGCTGGCATCCTAAATGAACACATTAGAGTTCCAGTTGTTCCACTTCTGATCCAGCTCCTTGCTTTGTGCCTGAGAATCAATCAATTCTCTCTCTCTCTCTTTCTCTCTCTCTCTTTTCCACTCTCTAACCCTGGTTTTCAAATAAATAAATGAATCTTCAAAAAGCTAAATAACACATTTATTGAGGAAAAAAGAAATTTGTAAGAGAACTGTTACCTTAGTTAGGTAACTATTGGGAAAAGAAAAATGTAGACTTGATATTAAGGACATGAAATAGTGCAAGAATTGTTCTGAATGGTTGCTTTTATGTAGTTGCACATCTAATGTAGCTTGGACACCAGTAGAATAACATCTCAGAGGTAGGGGATGTCCCAATTTAATCATTTGATTTCACCATTTTTGTTAATATCCACTTATCTTCAAAAATGTCACTGCTATAATCTGAAAGTTGTACTTACAAAATTTATATTTATTAAATAAAAGCTTTATATAAAAAAAGAAAATTGATTTTTTTGTTTGGCAGTGCTTCATCAGAACAAATTTCTACAGGGAGGGAGATAATGGGTCAATTCTACTCATGTGATACCACATTGACTAACTTTAAGGGTTTTAAAAGATGCTGATCACCTTTGGGCATGTCTGCTAGTAGGCTGGCTTATAATGCTCTGATAGCCTCACATAGAAATTATGAGGGCACTTCAAAGAGCACATTTAAAATTGAATGGATAAGTTTCTTTTTGGTGTGAAAAAAATTTTGATATCCATGCATAGATTTCTCATAATATGCATTTTCTTGAACTTTTTGAAGACTCCTTTATATTCATGTATTTCAATTCATAAAATAAACTTGTTTTAAATTTAAAAAAAAAATGGGATGAACCTGTATCTTCAGGAGAAGACAGAGTCATTCACTAGTCCCAATTGTCCCCAGCTTAAAGACCCTTTTGTCCCTGTTTTGTTTCTTCTGAGGACCCCAATAATAATAAATCCTAAAGGGCTATAAAGTCCATTTCATTGCTGTTGCAGCTGTACTATGACCATTCTTTTCCAGGCTCAAATTTGTTTAAAGCCCAATTACACAGCTCGAAATAAAAGAATATACTTGCCTTAATTCCTACCCTTCAATAATTTTAGAAATAATTTCTCTTCCTAGTTTCTTTCTTACATGTCTAACTCTTCATTTTCATTAACATTTTGCTCCTAAGGAGAAAGGGGTTACATGGGAAAAGTATTTCTCTGTCTTTGTGATTCCATAGAAAATAAAACATCTGGGGCAAGTGTTTGGCCTAGTGGTTAAGAAACTACTTGGGATGTCCACATTCCATATTAGAGGGCCTGGGTTGGAGTACCTGGCTCCATCCCCCATTCCAGCTTCCTACTGAAAGCATCAGATGATGGTTCAAGTAACTGAGTCCCTGCCACCCACATGGAGACCTGGACTGAGTTCCCAGCTCCTGGCTTTGGTCCTGGCCCAGCTGCAGCTGTTGCAGGCATTCAGGGAGTAGACCAAAGGATGGGAGCTTTTTTTTTTTTTTTACTGTATCTCAAATAAATAAAAATTGAAAATAACTAATTGAAAATAAATTATCTATGCCTTTTCTAAAAAAAAAAGAGAAAATATCTGTCAATATACACTTACCCCTACACACTTCACATCCACACACATACATGTTGACATACTATACATTTCACCTACATGTATACCCCCACACACAGCATCTTCCCCACACTGACACATCTCACATTCACACACGTCAGCCTTCGCCTCCTCAGTCTTACCGACAACACCATAGCTTCCTGGTTTTTCCATCTGTGACCAGGTAGATTGACTTAAATTGAAAAATTTATATAATAAAGCTAACTTCCTCTATTTTTTGTCTCAAATCCCTGTGCGTGTAATTGCCAAACTGACCAACTCTATTCTGAGCTTCCTATGGGAAGTGGTAGTGTTGAGATGTAGGAGTAGTCAATTTTGCTGGTAATTGCTGAACCATTTGAGGAGTTTCCATGTTTGGGGTAGGTCTCGGGGAAGGGATTCTCTGTGCTCCCTGCACTTTATTCCATTCTAACACCAGAAAGAAGAGCATAGTTTATGGGAGCAATGACATACTGTTGTGGTAAACTAGATCCAGCCCCTTGGGCTTCGCAATGTGCTTAACTTATTACTGAGACTTAATTTGCTGGTAGAATCCATTTTATGAATGGATTTTCCTGAGTCTGCTCTTCACTGGCATAAGGGTATTTAGATGGACTCAAGGCTTCATTTAAACGTATGTGGGCTGCCCTCTTCCCACCCACAGCCACAGCAGGGCAAACCACATCAGTCAAGCACAGGCTCACAAGGAGCTCGAAAGAGAAAGACTCCCCCTATTCACAGATGCCTCTACAGGCAGGAAGGCTGGTTGGGCTGAAGCAGAAGATGAATGGAAAAAAAGAACTGAGGGAGGAAAACCGCTCTCATGATGATCCCCTCAGAAACACAGTTTGTAGAAGCAGAGAACAGAAATCAGAACATGCAGCGCCCCCCAGGAACAATCAGACGCTGGGAGGAGAACACCGCCACAAGAATCAATAGCAGAAACCGAATCCCGCTCCTGACACGTTCATATCCAGAGTGTTCAGAGACCTCGGAGCTGGTGAAGCTGCTCATCATGACTCTGCATGCGTGTTTGCCACTCTCGGGGCTGCTCCTTTGCCCTGGAAACACATGCGTGACATCTCAGGGTCTGGTCTGGACTGAGATACTTTGCGTTTCTCTCAAGGGGATACCAACTTGAGCAAGGCTTGGCATATAAAGGATGAAAATGCCCTCTTCTCTATTTCTTTGATTCTGTTTGAATTGTATGAGTTCTGCCTCCCCGGTGTTTCTGGGAGGGAGAATCTAACATCTTCCAGCTTCCTGACCTCCCCTGAGTTCTTCAGACCAAAACCACATGTTTTTTCCTGCAAACTTTTTTATAGTATTGTTCTAATAGGTCTTTTAGATAACTGAAGGTTCAAAGGGGCCAGACAGATGTTACAGTGGATGAAAATAATACCATCCCCAAATTCTCTCAGGAGATGTGGTAGCTTGAACCTTCCAGATTCCCCTTTCTTAGTCCAGATCTCCCTTCCAGTTGCTAACAGAGAGTTTAGCAATGTGAAATGGGGCGATGGAATCTTCTCTTCTAAACCTACTCTGTCAGTTTCTCCTTATTTTCATTTGCAAAATTCTCATGCATCTATTTCCCCAAACCAGAAACCAGCCCCACCTCCCTCTGCCTCACTTCCTCTTTGGAGCTTCCTCACTTCCTTCCTTCATGGAGGCTGTTCAACCCTCTCTGCCTATCTTGAACGTCTCTGTTCCTACATAGAGCTCCCACCTTTGGCTTTAACCTACACCTTCTTTCTTTTTTTTTTATTTTATTTTATTTGACAGGTAGAGTTGTAGACAGTGAGAGAGAGAGACAGAGGGAAAGGGCTTCCTTCTGTTGGTTCACTCCCCAAATGGCCACTACGGCCGGCACTACGCCAATCCGAAGCCAGGAGCCAGGCACCTCCTCCTGGTCTCCCCTGCGGGCGTAGGGGCCCAAACACTTGGGCCATCCTCCACTGCCTTCCCAGGCCACAGCAGAGAGCTGGACTGGAAGAGGGGCAACCAGGACTAGAACCCGGTGCCCATATGGGATGCCGGCGCCACAGGCGGAGGATTAACCAAGTAAGCTACAGCACCGGCCCTAACCTACACCTTTATCATCTTCATCAGTGTGTCTACTGTAATGCATGTCCATTAGACACTGTTTGCACCCTCAGCGTCCCTCAGGAGTTGCTCACGTTGTTCTAGCAGCACTGTGCCCTAAGCTTCTGCTTCTGCTGAATGGTTTCTGACTATGGAGCATCTTAAAATGGTGCTCCTATTCCACATTGCTGCCCTAGCCATGGTACCTGAATTCTTCCCTGAAGTCTCCATCACATATGACGTAATGTGGACAGCCAACGCCTTGCGGAGAGCAGTGAAGATGGTGTTAACATATGCTCTACTGATATGATTATGTATAGCCCAAGATTTGCTGGAGTTGCTCAGGTCTTCTGACAGGAATGTGTGGTAACAGAACTCATGCTGGAGAGAAAATGAATCCTATACCATCCCACACACTCAGAAAAAATAGCAGAGAAGGGGGAAATGGAAAGAGCACAATTCCAGTAGTGTTTCCCTTTGGCTCCCAGTAAAACCAGCAGAGGCTCCTGTGTTTCCAAATCCCTTCTGAAAGGAAGTAGCCCTGGGCAGTAGTCATGACAGCTACTACCAGGGGCATTGGAGAAAAAGTGCTCAGGGCTCCGAGCCTCAACCACAGTTACAGAGAGAAGTTCCACTTTCGTCTTGATTGTAGATCAGAGCTGCATTAAAGAATTCCTTCGAACCAGCAGGTAGACAAAGCCAAACAACAAAGGAAGGATCATGGTTCCAGGAGACCGAGGGAAAAATGTCAATAAAGAACTGGCAGGGACTACAAACAGCACAGAGTCTCCAAAAGCCAGCAGAGAGAGAGGACCAACACATCTGCAGCTCCTTCCTCGGCTCCCTGGCCAGGGAACTCCATCCTATATCCTGGGTAAGTGGAAAGATCCCTGACCCCTGCCATTGCCGCAGAGCAGAAGCCCTAACTACAGAACTCCACATTCTTCCCTGGCTTTAAACCTTGTGTAAAGGGTGAAATGGTGTCCAAGTGACTTCTTTGCTTCAAAAAAAGGAATCCACATTGCCTCCCTCTGCCCTACAAAGCCCCTGCCCCATGCTACTGCTGTATAACCGCTGCCAAGCTCCATTCTACTTGGTGAACAGCTAGTACCCCAATGCCACCAGAAACCCCCAGAGCCAGGCTTCTCTGCATCCTGCAGTGGCAGGATTACTGGACACAAATCCTGGAGCTACTCTTGCGCTCTCCACACCATCTAGAGAAGTTCCCCTATGTTTCTTGAAGCTCAGCATCATCAGTGACCACTATACAACCCCAAAGAATCTAGCTTGAGCAAGATACCTTCTGCATTTCTAAGCACAGAGTGCTGGGAAGCTAGAGCACAAGTTACAGCATCACCCTTGCTTGCCCCGTGGGTACTCTAAGAAGTCCCTTCTGGTCCTGCAGCTCTAGGGCTGTGGTTGTTGGTACAATCCATGGAGTAAGTTGTACTCACCTATGAAACCTAGAGTATTTTATCAGCACTGCTCTGCTTTAGGCTAACAGTGGCCAGTCCATAAACCACTCTAAACTGACCCTCAAGCTGTGAGAACTGGGTAAGGAGCCTACTAAATCCTGAAGTTCTCGATCTGTGATTGTTGGTTCTATATGACTCAGGGACACCTGTGCTCATCTATGGGGCCTAGGGAGGGTCCTATTTGTATTCCTCTACTCTATGCATTCATCTACTAGTGCATAATCCACAGTATTACATGCAATCACTGTGTGAAGCTTAGGTAAGAAACCTCTGTGTCC